GTTTATGTCATAAGAATATGTACCAGGCTCACCTTGCATTTTCTTTGCTCCAACCCTGGATTCAACCATTTTTCAAAGGATTCCTTGTTACTTTTAGTGGAGAATGATATTTGAAAACTAATGTGTTAATACTGGGCATGTTCACTGCTACTCGTTTTGTCATTGCCTCTGAGTCCTCTTAGCAGACAGAGCTGTGAAAGAGAAGCGTAATTATATGTATTCACAAATTTATATCTATTTCTGTATTAACCTTTAAATATTTAAAACCATGAGTTCATATCTCTAGTTTTAATATTTTTTTTATCTTTATTGTTAAATGTATTACAGATGTTCCTCATTTTTTCCCCCATTGACCCCCTCCTCCCCACTCCTACCCCCCTCCTGCCTTTTCCCACACTGTTGTCTGTGTCCATTGGTTATGCATATATGTATATAAGTTCTTTGGTTTATTTCTTCCCACCCCCCAAAACCCCCTTCTCTTTGAGGTTCGCCAGTCTAGCAACCAATTTGTTCTTCTTAATCCCTTCACCTTTTTCACCCATTCCTCTAACCCCCCTTCCATCTGGCAACCAACAAAATGTTTTCTGTATCTATGAGAATGTTTCTGTTCTGCCTGTTCATTTTGTTTGTAGATTCCATTGTCGGTAGATATGTATTCACTGCCATTTTGTTTGTTCATATATTTTATCTTTTTCTTCAAAAGGACCCTTCAACATTTCATATAATAACAGTTTGGTGGTGATGAACTCCTTTAACTTTTTCTTGTCTGGGAAATTCTTTATATGGCCATCGATTCTAAATGACAGCTTTGCAAGATAGAGTAATCTTGGTTGTAGGTTCTTACTTTTCATCACTCTGAATATTTCTTGCCACTCCCTTCTGGCCTGCAAAGTTTCTTTTGAGACATCAGCTGACAGTCTTATGGGAACTCCCTTGTAGATAACTAACTGCTTTTCTCTTGCTGCTTTTTTAAGATTCTCTCTTTGTCTTGAAACTTTTGCATGTTGATGATGATATGTCTTGGTGTGGGCCTCTTTGGGTTCATCTTGTTTGGGACTCTCTGTGCTTCCTGGACTTGTATGTCTGTTTCCTTCACCAAGTTAGGGAAGTTTTCTGCCATTATTGTTTCAAATAGGTTTTCGATTTCATGTTCTCTCTCTTCTCCTTCTGGCACCCCCAAGATGTGAATGTTGGCACGCTTGAAGTTGTCCCAGAGGCTCCTTACACTATCCTCATTTTTTTGGATTCTTTTTTCTTTTTGCTGTTCTGATTGGGTGTTTTTTGCCTCCTTATATTCCAAATCAATGGTTTGCTTCTTGGCTTTACCTACTCTACTACTGAATTTGTGTAAATTATTCTTTATTTCAGTTAGTGCCTCCTTCATTTCTGACTGGTCCTTTTTTATGCTCTTGAGGCCCTGAGTGAACTAAGTTCGCTGAGGTTCTCACTAAGTTCATTGAGTATCTTTATAAGCAGTATTTTGAACTCAGCATCTGTTAGGTTGCTTATCTCCATTTCGCTTAGTTCTTTTCCTGGATATTTTTTCTGTTCTTTCATTTGGGACCCGTTTCTTTGTCTCCTCATTTTGGCTTCCTCCCTGTGTTTGTTTCTATGTCTTACTTAATGGGAAGTATGGGGCTAACTGAGAACAGATGCTGCTTGTTAGAAAGAATTTAGGAAAACCTAAAGCAGGATCCAAGACAGGCCAATCCTATGGTTAAGCACTAGCAACAGCTTGGGTGGGCCTGAAAGTTGGGTGGGGTGGGCGGGGCCTCAGGGAATCACCAGGGCGGGGCTACCAGTGTGAGCCTTGTTGCTGGAGTCCCAGATATGGCGGCTATCTGCTGCCCCAGGGAAGGGCTCACCAAAGGAACTAAGGCCTCTGACAGCACGTTTGTCCCGGAGAAAGCCCCCTCTCCAGCCCTTGCTCCAATGCCAAACAGCTCAGTTCTTCCCTGTATGTCTCTGGCGCCCCTCCAGCTGCCTCCCCTCCAAGCTTAGAGGGAGTGAGTCCGATTAAGTCCCTGCGCGGACCCTTTAAGGAGCTGCCTGGGTCTCCAGCTGCGTCAGCTTCCCTGATCCTCAGTTCCCACTGGTTTTTCCAGCCAGAAGTTATGGGGATTCTCTTCCTGGCACTGCAGCCCTGAGAGGGGTGTCTGGTGTGGGACAGGGACCCCTCAGTCCTCAGGGAGGACCTTCCCAGCCGAGGTGTCCTCCTGATGTTTATCCGCCACACGTGGGTGTGGGACCAGCCCGTCCCCTCCGCCCCTCCTACCAGTCTGGATGTGGCTGCTGCTTTAATTCCTTAGTTGTAGGACTTCCATTCAGCTTGATTTCAGGCAATTTTGAATGATGGTTGTTCTGTAGTTTAGTTGTAACTTTGATGTGGTTGTGGGAGGACGCGATACCGCGTTTACCTATGCTGTCATCTTGACCAGAAGTAGTTTTAATATTTTTAAATGAGCAGGATTCTCTGTTTCTGCTAAAATTCATCATATGCTCAACTTTGCAATAGGATTTCTACTTTTACATCACTACCCTTAATAATTCTATCAAATAAAAAATAAGTCTAAACTACAGTAGGCCACGTGACAACAGAATGTGTTATAGCATATGATGCGGTGTGATCACATGCTAATTGTTTTTGAGAAGTGACTTGTGGGTTTAAGTATGTACACTATAGTTATAGATATGTAATATTTATGTTGGCAAAATTACTACAATGTTTTTTCCAACATATGGCCTATTCACGAAAATTTTTTAGAAATAACAGTAAACTAATAACAAAAAAACAACTTGTTAATTTAAATATAAGCAAACTTGGTTAAACATATTTTAAAATGAGCAGGGTATTAATTTTTACATATGACCCATTATGGACTGGAATGTTGTCTGTTAAATCTGAAGTTCATTAAATCGAGGTCCATAAAATCGAGGGTTTGCTGTCATTTTACTGCATGTGAACTGTGCCTCAAGCCAGCAAAATCTTCCAGAATGAATCATTGGCTTCCAACAACTTTATTTCTATAATAAATACCACTGCGGTTGCTCTTATTAGCATCTGTAACTTTGTTTCCTAATTCTTTTAACATTCCTCTCAGATTTGTGAATCTTACAAAAATTTATAGCCTACTTTGTACAGTCTATCCCCCTTCAGTTGTATAAATAGAAGCTCTATCTGCAGAAGAGCAAGGGTTCAGATGACAATGGAAAGCAATCAGCAACTCGTTCCAAAGGTCCAGATGCGTACATCACATCGCAATAACCAGAGGCCGCTCACGCACTTATTGTTATTAATGTGAGTCCCACAACTGGCCCAGTACTGCTGAGCAGCAAAACATGGATGTCAGGCTCTCATCTAATCTTGCCTACAGGATTTGTTCAGTGTAGCACTTTTGTTCAGTGTAGCACTTGTGGCACTCTGCAGTTTGTGCCCAGACTGTTTCTGCAACTAGTAATTCACTTAGACCTTCACGATCTTCTGTTTATGTTGCTCCTTAGGAAGTCTCTCGTATCCGGTGCCTGGGAAACTGGCACATCTTCACTGAGCATAATGCAAGGTCATGGACTTCCACAAGTCCTCCGGTCCCAATGCCTCTTGAAAAACTGTGCCATTCAAGCTAAAAAATCAAACAAGATACTTGATAGGCCACACTTTACAAACCCTTTTCTGTTCTAACCTTTTAGAATCTGACTCAATTCCAAAGTCCTTTGAGAGACTTTGCCTGAGCAGTCAGTTCCCAGTTGTTTCTCCAACCTCTCAACTATGACAGCATTTGTAGGCTGCACCTGTCACTTGGTGCCAAGGTCATTAACAAATATTTTTTGAATATTATCTCATCTTAAAATATTTGTTATAAAAAATTTAGAACCCCACTGACATTATGATCACATTCAGCAGCAAGACCAAACAGGGCAGCACAGGCCAGATGGTGGAGTTGGTTGGACATCGTCCCATATACCAGAAGGTTTGGGAATTTTACAAATTGATGTTTTAAATAAACTGTATATTAAAAGAAAAAAATAATATTAAATATTTAACACTGTATTCAAATATTTCTCCTTAGTCTCCCTTCCTTCTCTTAGTTATCACACTTCCTAATAGCTATATTTAGAGAATATGCACTTAAAAACTTCCAGATTTCTTTTAAAAATCTTTTTACAAGTGTTGCTGTTGGTGGTGTGTTTTTGCTTTTCCTTCACACATCCAGGCAGCCTTGGAAGAATTTTGTTCAACTGTCAAGAGACTTTATTTTTTTATTATTATTATTTTTTTTATTATTATTATTTTTTTAATCCACACCCGAGGACATTTTTCCATGTTTTGTTCAGATAGAGTGAGAGAGAGAGAGAAACATTGATGTGAAAGGGACACATCGAGTAGCTGCCACCCGCACGACCAACCAGGGCCGGGGACAAACTGCAACTGAGGTACATGCCCTTAGCGGGAACTGAACCTGGGTCTCTCTGGACTGCAGGCTGATGCTCTAACCGCTGAGCCAAACCAGCCAGGGCTGTCAAGAGACTTTAAACAGACTGCAATTTATTAAACAATGCCTAAAGATTCCATGTTCTCATAAAGGTTGTTGTTTTGTTCTGTTTTTAGCCCTGACAGTCAAGAGGCATCAGAGATATGAGGTAAGGGGTACACTAATTACTGGACATAAAACCTCAAGTTCAGATGACAGGAATGGCACTATCTGTCAAGGCCATGTCTAAGAACGGGCAGGCTCAAGTGTCTTACATCCTAAGAGTTTGAGAAGGAAAATCTCTGGTCGGTCGATGGGAAAGCTCGGTCAGAATGTGTGTTCATGCTCGCCCTGCATGTCCTGGCCATGTAGCCTCAGCACCCATCCAGGTTCTCAAGCCCAACCTGACTTAATGGGACATTTCTCAGCTTATGGTCCTCCAGGGGCACCTCACTGCCCACCATAGGGTTCCACTCACTTTGTAAACTATATTGATCACCTTCTGCATGGGAAATCTTACACAGAAGCACAATGTGTAAAACAGATTTGGATGTGGTGGATGTAGAGGTGCGGGATGCAGAGGTGAATGTGGTGGATGTAGAGGTGCCGGATGCAGAGGTGAAGGTCCCCCGTTCTCTTCCCCTCACCTCTCCATCAGCATCAGCACCACTGCCCCAAGGCCCTGAGCACACTGGGGAAAACTGTCTGTACAGAAAGTTTTAGGGCTGAGTAAAACTGAGCCCTTCCTCTCCCATCTTCAAATCTGCCTCCCTCTGCACAGCCACACATCTGCCCCCAGAATGCCTTACAGAGCAGTTTAATGATCGATACTGGTTCCATCAGGGAGTGCAGAGGGGGCCACAGCCCATCACACAGCCAGACTTCCCCATATTTCTGTGGCCTAATACACGGTGGAGGTTGATACCCCCAGAAAACTGAGACATATATGAACAGCAGCTATAAATCCTTGTGTCCCATGCTGTGTTCAGCTTCTGGACACTTGTGCATCCTTGCCTGTCTCCACATCCTTCAGGGTCCAGCTCACATGCCACCTCTGATTCCCCCGCATGGCGTGTTCAACTGACAGGTGTCACTGAACACTCCTGGGAAGCCCACGAGAAGAAGTGGAATAGTCCTGCCCACGGGACTAGCCTGGCAAAGGAGGACAGGCTAACTCAGTGTTGCCTCACAGTGTGCCCAGGGCACTCTGGGAGCCCAGGCATCTGACTCAGTGGGTGGGACAGAGTGGAGCTGCAAGCACTTCTCAGAGGGGACAGCTCCAACTGGGTTTTGAAGGCTGAGTAGGAGTTGGTGGCAAGGATGAAGGGATAGGTTCTGCTGTGGGAGCTCAGGCCTGAGAGTATGGTGATACTGGTGCGTGCTGGTGGGCAGACCGGATGGAGCACAGATGAGAGTGCTGGGGGCAGTGGCCAAAGAGGGAGAGCTGGGCCTTCTTCCTGCTTGAAGCCCCCTGTGTGCTCCAGCTCACATCACTGATAGCAGTTGGGGCTCTTACCCACGCAGATCCCCTCAGGATGGGTTGCAGGCAGCCGAGGCCAGTGGGGAGAACACAGGTCTGGAGCTCTCCAGGTGGAGTTCAAGCCCCCGCTTCACCCCTTGCTGGCTTTGTGACTTGGGGCTCATTCCTTAACTGATGCAAGTGAGGCTCTGCATGTGTAGGAAGGGACTGTTCCTGCCTCCCTCTCGGGGCTGTTGTGCAGTGTGATGAGGCAGGGACAGAGACTGCCTAGTGCAGGCCCGGGACAGGCAGCGGGAGGACACCCAGGTGACTGCAGAGTCTTAACGACCAAACCCAACCCGCTGCCCGGCTTTGATCAGAACTGTCCATGGACAGTAAGGGGCATGGTCTCCCCTCTACCAAGAATCCTGGATTCTGGCCCACGCAGGGGAAATGAACACGTGATGGGAAAGCAGGCGCTACCGGCCACTCCCCGCTGAAAGGACAGCGGAAAACTGCCCACCGAGAGAAACGGACATGTTCCCTCGGGAGTGCTCCCAAACTGGGACGGCTTTCAGGGGAGACTCTGTCGCCCTAAGATCCTGAGTGGTGCTGGGAGGGTCCGGGGGGCGAGAGAGCTAAGAGAGGAATGAGCTGAACCGCAACCCAGGGCGTGCAGGGCACCTGGGACAGGATTAAGTCAGCGGACACCTCCTGTGAGGGGGCTTGTGAGGGCCCAGCCGCGGCATTGCACACCCAGCCTGTGCCTGACGCACAGTAGGTCCACAGCTCTTCCCTGTTTGTTGTGTCTGCAGGCTCATCATTTCCGGAAACTGCCCAGAGCTGTAGTTTCTCTGAGTGCTGGTGTCAATGTTCCGGTAGAGCCGTGTATTGAGCGAAAACTCGTCCCCATGGCCGTGTTTTCCAGGACCCAGATCAGGAGAATAAGGGTCGAGTTGAGAGGCCGAGACTCAGCCCTCAAACCCGGGTCAGACTCTTAGTCCCACCCCTTCCTTGTTGAGGGACCAGCTCAGGGAAGTCCCATACCTGTCAGCAGGTACACTCGTGCACCCAGTCGAGGTTATACAGGTCAAACACTCTAAGGCCATGGAGTCAGCAGTTAGAGTGTCGGCTTGCAGACTGAAGGATCGCAGGTTGGAGTCCGGTCAAGGACACGTAGCTGGGTTGCAGGTTCAATCCCCAGCCTGGTCAGGGTCAATCGATATGTCTCTCTCCCTCCCTCCTTTCCACTCTCTCTAAAATCAATGGAAAAATATCCTCAGGGGAGGATTAACAAAAAAGATAAAAAATTAAAGTAGACGCTGAGGAAGTGTTTCCTTCCCGAATTAAATTGTTTCTTGATTCAGGACGTTGTTCCATAGAGACGGTCCCGTGGGCCTGGCCTGATGAAAGTGGTGCAGGAGCTAAAACGTGACACAGAACTGCCCAGGGCAGCAGCTGTGTCCCTCGGGGGTCGGTTTGGGTCCAGATGCCTGGAAGACGCTTTCGTCATGAACCAAGTGCCTCAGTCTGACTGTTCTCGTGTATGTTTTTGCTGACCAGGAGCTGAGAGAAGACAACAGCGTTTTGATGGAAACCAAGTCCATGGTGGAGGAACAGCTGACCATTGCTCGGGCCTGGGGTGATCAAGTCCACGAGCTGGAGAAAGAAAACCTGCAGCTGAAATCGAAGCTTCGCACCCTGGAGCTGGTATGACAGCTGCTGTCACCGCGTGTGAAGCAGACTGGGGCAGCTTCATGTGGATGCTGTGTCATCGCTGATGCTCAGCTCCTGGGGATGCTCTGCTGGGACGGTGCTGTGGCCGCTGACTGCCCAGAGGCGCTCGCTAAGGTCAGAGCTTGAGTGGGCGCCACGTCACACCCACGCAGCAGACAGGGCTGGAGTGCGTGCTTTTCTGTGAGGATGTATGTATGTGGGGTCTGCTGGCGTTCGTGGTGTGGGTTGAGCTGTGATTTGTGTGTCTACAGCCTTGCCAAGGTTAGTGAGGCCTGCTAAGGGGCTACGAGACTGCCTGTGACCATATTGATTTAAAGCCCTTTGCTGTGAATCACTTTGTTCAGACTCCACTGGGTTGGAGACCTTAGTCAGGTCTCTTCCTCACCTAGGTCACTGGGTCAACATACCTTTTAGTGGGTGTAACTCTCACAGCTGGGCCCCGTGCTGGAGTCGTTTCTGTGCGGCTGTGTTTTGGGAAATGAGCGGGTGCACAAAGGCCCTTCACCCTGGGGGGATGAGGGTAGATGTCTGGGGGCCTGAACCTGACCAGAGGGGGCTCCGGGCTGCATCCTCACCCCTCCCCTCCCCCTGCACTAGGCCCAAGACACAGACCAGAAACACACTGAGGAACTCATAGAAAAGAACATGGTCCTCGAGATTGCGCAGAAACAGCGCATGAGCGAGTCCGCCCACCTGGTCTGGGAGCTGGAGCAGCTGTCGGAGAACATAAACCTGTCGGATGACCTTTCAGATGGTAGGTAGCCGCCCTGGTGCCTGGGAGGCAGCCTGGCTGTGGCTTCTTCCTCATCCAGGGGCTGAGCCCTTGGCTGTGAATCTTGGGTGTCAGCCCACCCTCACCCCATGTACATTGAAGTTTATTCAAGGGCCATTTGGAACCCTTTGATTGCAATCTCCCCAAGGAGAACATGAGGGACTAGCAGCCTTGATGTCAGGACATGAAACACAAAGTAGGTGTTGCCAGATTTCTCAGTTCCACATGGACATTCCCAGGAGAGCCCAGATTACAGCATGCTGACAGCCAGGGGACTTCTTAGATCTCTCCATGGATGACTGAAACTCCTGGGGGGCAGATGTCCCCAGTGGTCACTGATGTCCGTTATAAATGGAGATTATTTCCTGGGCATTTTGTCCTTGGTTTCCTTGCATAATTGGGCAGGATGGATGCACTCTGCTCTCTGTCTCCCTGGGTCGGGGCTGCTAAGTGGCAGCTTCTCATGGGACCCAGGCTTCTTCCTCTTCTTGTGGTTTCCTTGTGCCCAGCACCCCAGACGAGGTGTTGAGTTGGCAGGGGAAGGGGGTGGAGTGGCAGTGGCCAGTGCAGCAGGAGGCCTGAGACCAGGAAACAGCAGCCGGCTCCTCTGTTCACACGGAGCACACGTGCACCCGAGAGTGCAAGTTCGTGCTCACTGAGAGCTTCACAGAGCAGGGGGGCGTCAGGCTGGGGTGGGAGGGGGGGCGTCAGGCTGGGGTGGGAGGGGGGGCGTGCTCTTCCAGTTCTGAGAAACATGCCTAAGCATCATGGAGAGGCTTTGAAAGCAGCTGGATATCCAAGGGGTCCCATTAGTTCCATACCTACAATCGGCTCATTAAACTATTAATTGTGAGCAGTGAGATGGTTCTGTGGTTTGGAGTCTGGGCACTGCTGGGCGGTGTGGGGGGATCCCTGCTCTGGAGTTCAGGTTCATGGGGAGGAGCACTGCCCTCTGGTGGAGCAGGAGGATAGTGCAGGCTGGCGGGACCAAATGTATTTCTGTCAGAGGCCAGGGTGGCAGATGGGGTTGGAGGCCTCACTGATTCAGATCAGTATAGTTCGTGAGCCCTTTCAGGTCAGTGCCATGGCTTATTGTGGATGTTCCCAGCTCCTGCTGCTTAGCTGGCAGCTAATAAACAAGCATGAGTGTGATTGTGTGTGGATGGTGTGCTGGCCTCTGGAGTCAGAATGACCTGACTGACAGTCCTGGTTCCTCCACGTGTAGGCTGGGTGCCTCTTTTAAACCTCAGTTTTCTTATCTGCAAAATGGGGTAATAGAGCTGCCTCCCAGGGTTGCTATGCGTATCCTGTGAGAGGAGACAGTGCCGGGCCCACGGGGCACCAATAAAGGATGGCTGTCCTTGTGACCCTTGCCTTATTCAAGGTGTCCCATTGTTCTGGCTCTTGGGGTGCACATGAGCGTAGCACCCGGTAAAGAACCATTGGCTGTTTCCCCAATAAACTGTCATGTCTTCATAATAGTCTCTGAGGAAATGAGGCTTGTAATCAACTCCATTGTTGAACTTGGAGAACCTTCAGAACTTTTTCCACGAGAACTTTGGTGTGAAATAGTGAAAACATCTGATAGTTACAGAACAGCAGGAATGTAGCTAATGCCACAGAACTATACCCTCAAAAACAGTTAAAACGGTAAATTCGATGTGTATATTTCACCACAGTTTTTTTAAATGTTAATTTATAAGTGACTGCAGCAAAGTACCGTCTAGTGATCCCCGGGTGTGAGTTAGTGGCGTTATAGCCGCTCGGTGTCGCTTGTAGCCTTGTCAGGGCGAAGCCCCTCCCACGTTTCCCATGTGAGAACATGCGTGTCTGTGTGTGGTCAGCGCTGGACGGGGCCGGGCCGCTCCGCTGTGCACTGCCTGTGGCGTGGGGTCCTCAGTGTTCTGGCTTCTCGGGTCCGTGCTGCTGTCCATGGTGGAGGAGCAGAAGCAAAGCCAGACGCAGGCACTTGTCATCCTCTGATCACCCGAGTTGCCGGAAACATGTTGTTTCCAGCTGAGCGGCTGCTGGGAGAGCCTTCCCCTCTCCGTGTGCTGATGGAGGAGGAGCAGGTGGGTCGGCCGCATCCGCAGTCCAGTGTGATGAGGCTCCAGGGCTGAGCATGTGGCCTCGGAGGGACAAGGGCGGGAGCAGTCCTGACCCCTCTTTCGAGGGCTCTCATCTAAATTCGTTTTTTCCTGAAAATGCCCCAGAATTTACGTAAAGCCATGGACCTGGTTGTGACAGGATGGCCAAGACCGCCCGTCCTTCTCGGGTCTGTGCTCCCTTCCTCTTCGCATTCAAAGGACGGAATCTGCCCTTTTCTATCTGACTTATGTGTTTGTCTCACTTAGAATTTTTTAAAATATGTTTTCCTTGATTTTCTTTAAGAGATAGTTGAAGGGAAGGAGAAATAGAAACATCGATGTGAGAGAGAAACATTGGTTGGCCTTCTCTTGCATGCCCTCCACTGGGGATCGAGTCCAAAACCTGGACATGTGCCCTGTCCAGGAATCCAGCTGGGACCTCTCAGTCCAGGGGACGACGGTCAATCCACTGAGCTGCACCAAAAAGGCACCCTTGGAATTTTTAAAGCAGTTTCAATAGACTATCTCAGTCTTTCTGCAATATAACTATAATTACAAAATGAAATCTCTGTCTCAAGGACCTTATCCAGGGTGGCAAGTCCTGGGCATGGGCACCCATAGCCTCCACCGCCCTGGAAGACATACTAGTTAGTCGTCATGTCCTCTCCCCCCGCAAGCCACCCAGACTCCCACTGCTCTCAGGCTGGCCCGGGAATGCCATCTGCTGGCTCGCTCTGTCAGCCTCTAACATCCTCCACCTGAGGTCAGGTTGGAACTTGGGAATAGTGGTTCTAGCAGTTCCATGGTGTTGAACTTTTGCATGGGCTTCTCCACCGTCACCTGCTTTCCTCTTAAGCTCTGGGTTGCTCCCCTAACAGACCCCAGCTGTGCCCGTAGAGGGGCCTTAACTGCCCGAGGAGCCGTCAGGTGCTGACAGCAACAGCACCCCGTGAAAAGGGAGGGACACCCGCTGACCCGTGGGAGCCCATCCCAGGCCCGCGCACCTGGGGTTGGGACTGATGGCCGTCTGTGGCTGCGGGCAGAGTGGAGCCCAGGCCCCTGGAATCTGGGCTCTGACCCGACTTTGCACTTCAGCCTCCAGGAAATCGTTTGTGCTTGAGCTGAATGAATGTGCCTCCAGCCACATCCTGAAGCTGGAGAAGGAGAAACAGAGCCTGCAGAGCACCATCCAGGAGCTGCGGGACGCGTCCCTGGTCCTGGAGGAGCGCAGCCGCCAGTGCAGGGGGCTGGAGGAGGAGAAGCAGCAGCTCAGCAAGAAGGTGACCTGGGTGTGCGGATGTGCGGGCAAGGAGGCGGCCGGTGGGCACCCGGTGTCCTGAGGATGCGCAGTGGGAGACATGCAGACCCAGTGACGCCTCAGCTGTGCTGGACGGACAGGAGCCGTCATGGAGAACTCACTAGCAGTGTGACCGGCACGACTGACCGCTGTGTGCCCTGTTGCCTCCTGATGAATGGGGTTCACGATGTCCCCACCACATAGGTGCTGTGAGGGCCGCATGGTCAGTATAGGTCCAGGGTCCAGCACCGAGCACGTGCTCCCGGAGCAGAGCGCTGCGCCCTGTTCGAGAGCCTGGGCGGAGCTGGGAGGGCAGCGGTGTGGAGGACACGTGTGAGCAGGGCAGTGCGGGCCTGTCGGCATTGCTGGGGGACAAGACCAGCTCACCTTCCCTCTCAGTGGACGGGATGAGGAAGAAAAGAGGGCTCAGCTGCATGTGCCCCTCAGGACACCGGGCCCAGGGGCCCAGTGGGACTCACAGTCCAGGCCGTCCTGCAGGCAGGAGGGGCTCCATGCACGTGGCAGGAAGGGCCATGGAGAGGCTAGGGCGGGGCAGAGGGATCGGTCATCGGGACAGACAGCCACCCGAGGACGGCACAGCCGCAGGGTGGGCTCTGAACACACGTTGACCAGGGGCCAGGCAAGAGCACTCTGGCTTGCTGCCCACCTTGTAGCGGGTGCATTCAGCTGTCTGGGTGTCTGTCCCGACCTGCCCACCAGTCCTGCAGTGTCACTGGTCGCGGAGGCACCGGGAGTGGAGGGACATGGGCTGCAGACGGGAGACCTGGGCTCTGCTGGTCACGCTCCGCTGGTGCTATGTCTCTGGGTGAGAGCTGGGACACCCCCTCCTCTGTGAGGCGCTGTCCCCAGGCCTCTTGTCGAGGGTCAGTTAGTCCCTCTCCTGTCCCTTTGAAGTGTCGTGAGCCTCACATCAGAGCAGCTGCCAGATAGTGTGTCCTTTCCTGGTGGGACGCTGGACGCCCATCTCGTGCCATCTCTCAGGCCAGCGCAGCACAGGGAGAGCCACTGGACAGTGGGTGTTACATCACATGGGCCTGGCACAGGACAGGTCTCTAGAAATGGCCGTCTGTCCTCAGCCAAGAGGAAAAGAATGGACCTTTAGAAAGATGAGACCTCCAATTGGGGGGTCCTCAGGGTCTGTGCAGAAGGCCTGCAGGCCTCAGAAATGACCACTGGCACGTTTCCTGCCCTCGGGTCAAGGCCAGTCCCTCCTCTGCACAAACAGGACTGGCGGTGCCACCTCTCCAGCATGACCCCTGTGCCCCTGTCCTCGGGTCCCACCCCTGCGTCCTCGCTGGACCCCTCCCTGGTAGGACGCCACGCAGTCCTGCCACAGCCCGCGGGAGGCGTGTCTGGGCCCAGAGTCCTGGCGGAAGGAGCGCTGCAGGCCCCCGACCAGCTGTCCCGTGTGTGGTACCGGGGGTCCTGGGAATGCGGCCCTTCTGCGCGCCGGAGCGCTTCTCCTTCCTGTCCTGCTCAGCTGCATCCAGCCTGACCCAGCAGGGCTGGTTCTGCCTTCTGAAGAGGTGACTGTTCTGTTTTCAGTCACCTCTTCAGTCTAGAAGCAATGACAATCAGAAATGCAAAGGTTGGAATAAATTCCTTTCTCTGGGGAGGAAGGGGCACGGGGCTGAGGTATTAACAGTAAGGCAGGGGTGCAAGGCGGGGGTTGGGGGCACACACCACAGTCCCCCACTGGGTGAGCAGGCTGGGGTGGGGCCCCTGCGGTGCGTCCCAGCTCTGCCACATCCTCACGGTGGAGCTTTGGGCAAATCCCTCGACTTCTCAGAGCCCTGTGCCCTTCTCTGAGTGACGGTTAATGACAACCGCTCAGTGCTGCCTCCTCGGGGCCACCCTCAGGCCAGCGCTGCCCTCGGGAGATCTGGTTCCCTGGGCCCAGACCTTGCGCAGGACGTGGCCCTGCTGGGTGCGGCTCCCCCGGCCTCGGGTCCCCACGTAGGGCAGGGGGCCTGGTGTGCTGACAGGGTGATGTCAGGACACGGATATGAGCCCCACTGTGCCCGACCCTCCCTCTCCTGGGGAAGAAGCCTGCCTGGCTGCTGCTTCCGGAGGCGCCCGAGACAGTGCCCGGCCCCGAGGGAGGAGGCAGGGCGGCCCCAGCCCGAGAAGTGGGCAGAGCGGGCGCGACCGGTGCCAGCCCGCAGCCGACGGGCCTGGAGCAGGCTCTGGGTCCTGGCTGTCACCGGGTCCTGCACACCTCCGGGTCCTACGTCCAGAGGTGCTACTCGGTGCCTGAGGTTCGGGGCCTTTAGAAGCTTTTGAACCGTCTGAACTTCGGCTTGGAGACCCATTGCTTAGTTCAGAGCCGTTGTCCCGAACCAGCGACATCAGGGTCACAAGTCAAACATGCAGATTTTGGGGCACCAGCCCAGTCTGATTGGGGGGCATTGTCACAGGGGGACAGTAGGGTTTGGGGGGATAGCACATGGGAAGAGGACAGGCCTTGGTGACACTTTTACCTGGGTGCGAGAGGGAGGAGAGACATAGCAGAAGACCATTCTGAGCAGCTGGAGTGTGGGAATGTCCCTGACCAGGTGACGTCCCTGCAGGGCACCCAGCGGTGGTGGCCGCTGGCCCCAGGCAGGTGGCCTGACCCTTAGGATAGTAGACAAGGCCAAAGGGGGGAGCAGTGCGGGTGAGGATTGGAGAGCTGGGTGCCCAAGCCCTTCTCTGTTCCCTGAGCTGGACGTGCACCCTGTGGGCTGAGTCAGTGGTCAGGGGTGTGTGTGGGGAGGTCACTGCAGAACAAGGCCTGGACTGGGCAGCGGCTCCCGGAGGCCCCCAGGCGCCGGGCTCCTCTCTTCCTGTCCCTCCAGCCTTGGCTGTGGCTGTTGTACCTCCCCGAGAAGTGGCGGGAAGGAGCTTTTCCTTGAGAAAAGTCCTGTTAAAGTAGTCCGTGGGGCCCACAGGTTTGGGGTTTGCTTTAAAACTAATTTGCTTGTGAAACTGACATGTGCATGAGCTGGGTCTCTGGCTCTGTAGGTGGAAAAGTTGCAGACCCAGCTGGAGAGAGAAAAGCAGAGCAACCAGGATTTGGAGACCTTCAGTGAGGAGCTGATCTTAGAGACAGAGCAGTTGCGTTATGACATGCAGACCCGGACAGCTGACAGCGCCAGGCAGGTAGGCCCTCCGGTGTGGGCGCCTCCCCTGGAAGCCCTGCCCACAAGAGGGAGGTCACAGCTGTGTCCTGGTCATCGATCAGTAGGGATACGTGGGCTACCAGTTCCCTTGCTCAGCTGCAGCTTGGACCAGCAATTCCCACCCTCATTAGGGGCACGGGGACAGGTTTCACCTCCCAGGGACACTGGCTGTCTTGTTTTCGGTTGTCATGACTTGGGGGAGGACAGAGGAGGTGCTCCTGGCTGTGGTGGGTAGAGGCCAGGGATGCTATTCAGTGTCCTGCGGCACACAGGACAGGCCCGCAGGACACAGAGGATCCCGCTCCAAATGCCCAGAGTCACACCGGAAACCCTGGCAAACCTCCAGCTTTGATTGCCTCACACCAGAACCAGGGCAGGCAGTCCAGTGCTGGGCAGTGACTCAGTGACTCCCCCCAGGAGCCAGGCTTCTGTCTTCGGCTCAGCCAGACTTGGCAGTGGCGGTTGTACCTCCCAAAGACATGGGCAGGAAGAACGTGGAGCTTGAAGGGGCAGAAGAAAGACCTCCTCAGGACCCACTGTTAACATCTCATTGGCCAGACCCAACACATGACTGCCCTTAGCTGCAAGGGAGGCTGGGTATCAAGTACTTGCGTTTTTTAGCCTCTCTAGTAGAGCAAAAGAAGGGGGTTGGGATGGTGCTATGTACAGTGCAAAGACAGAAGGGGCCGCCCTGATGTGGCTTACAGTCTAGACGGCTGATGGACAGGTGATTTCAGACGTGTGCTATTGAAGGAAAAACATGGGACCAGGGATAGAGTCCTGCTAGGGGCAGGACAGTTAGAAGTCTGGTGCAGGGCTTCTCTGAGGAGCTGACGCTCACACTGAGCCCTGGAGGGTGAGAAGGGGCCAGGATGCTGGAGGCCGGGGGTGGGGATGGTGGGTGTTGAGGGCAGAGGGAAGGTCACCTGCGGTGTCTGCGGGGGGAGTGCCTCCCGCACGCCAGGACCAAAAGCTCTTTTCTTGTTTTATTTTATTATTATTTCTTTAATCCTCACTCGAGGATATTTTTTCATAGATTTTTATATTGAATGGGAGGATGGGAGGGTGGGAGGGAAGGAGAGAGACAGAGAGAAACATCGATGTGAGAGAGACACATCTACTGGTTGCCTCCCTCATAATCCCAACCAGGGCTGGGGATCGAACCTGCAACCAAGGTACGTGACCTTGACCAGGATTAGAACCTGTGACTCTCCGGTCCATGGGCCGATGCTCTAACAGCTGAGCCACACCAGCCAGGGCACTTCCATTGTTTTAGGGAAGAGGAGATGTGGTTTATGTTCCTAATCACCCCGGCTGCTGTGAATGGGTTTGGACTTGGACTGGCTCAATGGGAGTCTCTATGCCCTTCACCTAGTGTCCTTATCAGGCCTCTGGAAACATCAGAACTTCCTTTGGCTCCAAGGTGGGTGGCCTTTCCAGGCCTACACTTTAGTCCCCCAGTTTGGACCCAAGTCACTGAAATGCACTCGTGCAGCTGCCTATGTCATTTCCATTGTGTTTTCCTGCAGATCCAGCTTCTTGAGCAAGAAAAGGATCATCTCAGCCAAGCAATGCGGTTGCTGCAGGAGAGGTCACAGGCCGGCAGTGAGGCCCGCATGAAGGACATCGAGAGCGAGAACAGAGTCCTCCACCAGACGGTGACAGAGACCAGCAGCAAACTCAGCCAGCTGGAGTTGGAGAAGCAGCAGCTGCTCTGGGACCTGGAGCAGGTGAAGGAGAAGGTGAAGCGGATGGAGGAGCTGGAGAAGGAGCTACACCGGCAGGAGAAGGAGAACGAGAAGCTGGCCGAGAAGTTCACCTCCCTGAGCACCACGGCCACCGAGAAGATCGACGCCCTGGAGCGTGAGAGCCAGGATCTGACGCTGGAGAACCAGGAGCTGAGCAGGTCTCTGCACACCCTGCGGAACACGTCGGTGCAGCTCGAGGAGCTGGAGCGGGACAACAAGCAGCTGAAAGAGGAGAACCTGGAGCTGCGCAGGATGGTGGAGACCGTGAGCTTCACGAAGGCCAAGATGGCTCAGGTGGAGGCAGAGAGCCAGGAGCTTGAGCAGGAGGAGGAGCAGAGAAGCGAGGAGCTGAAGGCCCTGAGCACGAAGTCGGGGAGCCTGGAGCTCAGCTACCAGAGCGGGAGCCCCGAGAACCTGCAGCTGCTGCCGACCCTGGAGACCAGCGGCCAAAAGTCGCAGGCCCTGCAGCACGAGCTCGGGGAGCTGCAGGCAGAACACCAGGCCCTGCAGCGGGACCTGGAGACCCAGCAGCTCGCCAACAAGCCGCTGGAGAGGTCCGAGGACAGGAAGGCCCTGGAGCAGGAGGTGGCCCGGCTGGAGAAGGACAAGAAGCTGTTGGAAGAGGAGGTGAAGCAGCTTCAACAGCAAGTGGAGCTGAAGGACGTGGTCTTGGATGACAGCACTGCCAGGCTGTCCGCAGCTCTGGACAAGGAGATGGCATGCTGCAAGGACGCAGCCACCAAGCAGAAGGATCTGGAGAAGGACAACAGAGACCTCACCGAGCAAGTCCCCATGCACATGAGGACGTTGAGTGAGATGAGCTGGGTGCAGGCAGCCCCTCCACGGGGAACGGCTGGGTTGGCGTCTGTCCACAGCAGCGCCTCATGCTGTGAAAATCAGCTGTTCTCTTACTCCCCAGAGATAACCACTGCCCTGCACGCATGTCCACGGACACCCTGCTCTCTGCTATCTACTCTATTGTGCATTGTATTAATTACGCCTTGTCTCGTTACATAACATAGGCGTTAAGCCACGACTTCTAATGGCTGAGAAGCTAGATGTCTGAATGTTGAAACTTTAAATATGTAAGTGTTGATAAATGACTTAATTTTTCTAAAAACCTGTGTGGACCAAACTAGACCCATTTGTGTTCAAATTGAGTCCATGAGCCTCAGGCAATGTGGGTTTTCTGATAGAAATCTTGCCCCAGGAAACCCAGTTGGGTAATTATGATGATGATAATTTCAGTGGATTTACATAAGCATCTCGTGTTTCATTGATCTCAGGAGTTGAAATTAGTAGGGGTCTTGGAATTGAGGAGTAGAGCAGGGCATAGAGAGTTTTAGAGCAAAAATGTTCTGATTCCATGTTTTTAAAAAGTGTTTTAATGGAACCCTTTTTTCCAAACAGGTTGATATGTCAAAACCTCATGCATAAAAGATTTTAACAGTGAGGCTCTTGAAGCGGTGTGTGAGGCTGCCTGTTCTGTCTCCCCAGCCCAAAGTGGGCACCAGGGGTAGCCTCATAGAAGCCCAATAGACAGTTTGAAAAGTGCTGATTTTGTTCAACCCCTCATTTACACAAGAGAAAACAGAGGCCCAGAGAGGGTGTTTGAGGAAGGTTGCACAGCTGGGTTAAAGCCTGGCAGTGCTCCTGAGCCTTGGCCCTGTGGCTCTCCACCCCCAGGGTCAGTTTCCTGTACCAGCAGCTGAAGGGGGAGCACGAGGGGCTGCACAGCCACATCAAGGAGCTGGAAACCTCACTGAACAGCTCGAAGCTGGGGCTGAGCCACCGGCAGGGTCGATGGTCAGGGGCCCAGTGGTTCCCCAGCTATCACTTCATGAGGGGCTCACTTCACAGTGAACTCTTGGGAAAGCCCTCGGGTCCACAGGCCATTCCTGATCACAGGAAGGACCATCCCACCAGCACAGCACAGAGGGGGAAGACCACCCTGGGCCCACAGTACATCTCCGATTGCTTTTCTTCTAAGCCACAGTTTCCTCACCTGGGGTCTTCCTCCGGACCTCATTCCTGGCAGCTCCCTAGGCCCCGTAGACCAGCACCCCTTAAACTCTCACCTTCCAGTGAATCGACTCATTGGCCAGCCCAGGGCTCAGAAGCCTTCCAGGGCTGAGCCTTGCTTCCTCCAGACCCCCCTCCTGGAGCTCCCCGCACCTTCCCTGCACCCAGACCACCCCATGCTCCACCTCCACGTCCCTTCCCCACCCACGGGCTAGCCGCCTCCCCATCTGTATCAGCAAGGAAACCAGGGGTCAGGAGCTGGGGCCCAGCGGGCAGCACAGTGTAGGTACCCCGCGTGCACCTGTCCGGGACAAGACCAAACAAAAGCGTGCTATCTGCCTCATGAAGGCCAGACTCTCCCCCAGCCCAAGTTCAAGTGGTGTCCCTTTGGTCCTGTCTGTGTTTTTGAAAATGGCAACTGATTTCCACCCTGTAGAAACCCAGAGATGTTGCTTTACAACCTGGGTTTCTGGAGCCTTTGAAGAAACAATCAGAAGCTCCACCCCATCGAGGGCAGCACTGGGTCTGCAGGTCCCACATTCAGTCCACCTGCACCTGTGCCCAGCCGCACCGCAGTCCCCACCACTCCCTCTCGTCTTCCCAGGCCCCTTTGCTCCATCTCCTCTGTCTGGCCCCCAAAAGGCTTTGCATTTGCTTTCACGGAAGTGTTATCGGAAACCTGCTTTGGAATGGGTTGTGGTCAAAGGTCTGATTTACTAAACTGACTTTCATAACCTTGATGCCCATCTAACTCCCTGAGGGCAGAGCTCCCCACCACTAACAGTGTTGTCCCTCTGTACCCACAGGAGCTAGCCTCCCCTTATGTCTGCCCACAGTGCCCAGCATCCTGAACTGACCCGTCCAGAGAGCAATTGGGTTTCTGAGCTTCGGTTTTCAGATGGTTTGGGGTTTGCTCCCCTGAGATGTCGTACAGCCGATCCTAGGTGTTTCCCGGGCTCCTCGAGGCGGTAGGGTTCCTGGACCCACGTCAGATGCTTCCATCCACATATCCCAAGTCGGCCATCGTGATGGCCATGAGCATAGTTTTGTCTGAATCCCAGAAAAATACCAGCCCCTCTGGGCCAGGTCCCAGGCTGGCTGATGAGTATATTTGTGTGTTTTATTTAACACCTGATGGGATTTTCTTTCTCCTTTGTTTGCAGAGATAAATTAAATGCCTTACAAAGACATAAGGAGAAACTGGAGGAAAAAATAATGGAACAGTACAAGTTATATGATCCTGCTCCGAAGAAGTGAGTTGACCTAGGCTTCAGGAACTGAAACAGTTCTTGCTTATCTCGGGCAGGAAAGCCGAGCCCTCTGGAGCAGTGACCAGCATGCGGCGGAGCTGCGCCGTGTGGGGCGCGTGCAGGTCCTCCCAGCACAGGAAGACCTGAGCATCCCTCAGACCGCCCTCCGTGAGGAGCTGCGCCGTGTGGGGCGCGTGCAGGTCCTCCCAGCACAGGAAGACCTGAGCATCCCTCAGACCGCCCTCTGTGAGGAGCTGCGCCGTGTGGGGCGCGTGCAGGTCCTCCCAGCACAGGAAGACCTGAGCATCCCTCAGACCCGCCCTCCGTGCTCAGGCTCGTCCTCGGAGGAGGGCGCACGTCTGCGCCTGGAGCCGGTCAGGGGCGGAGTCTGGTCTTAGAGCCACTCGAGCAGGAGTGTTAGGTTTTGTCTCAACACTTCGGGACCCGGAAAACCGTGTTTCTTTCTGGGAGGGAAGCTCGGGTCAGGCATCTGGACCAGCCTGCATGGTCTTCAAACACGGGACCTTTCCGTCTCACCTATTCCTTCGGGTTCACGGGACCCCAGGGCGGTTTCACAGACGTGTCCCCTTCACCAGAGAGCAGCAGCCGGTTGGGGGCTGGCTTGGTCCCCAAGATAGGCTGGCACCGTCCAGCAGGGCTTCCCTGGTCCCAGGCCTGCGCCCCAGGTGCAGGCCCTTCAGATTGTCCTGTCCCAGCCCAGCCTTGAAGTCGAGTCACCACGAGTCGGGCGAGGCCTCTCTCTTGGTCACAGAACCACAGGCTCAGGCCCTCCCCCTCCGCAGCAGACAGCTGAGGCCGGTGGGACACGGAGGTGGGACACGGAGGGACAGTGAGCGCAGAGCTGCTCGGGCAGGGCCGGGTCAGACCCGAGGGGCTGCTGGGGTCAGGACGCCTCCATTTCCGGTCAGCTGCAACCCAGGACCTACCCTTCAGTCCACTCGGTTTACGTCCTCGGCCCACTCTGCCCTCCTCGACCCTCACCCAGACTCCTCAGTGCCCGGACGGTCACAGTCTGCCCGCCTAGTTCAGTCATCACTAACCCAGCGACAAATGCGGGGCCCCGGCTTCTCGACAACGGCCCGTTGATGGGAAATAGCCGACAAGCCGAGGTTAGATCAGCGGAGCAGCACGTCCTGGGTCTCGCACAGACTGTCGAGTTGAGAGCTGAATTTGAGGTTCTGTTTTCCCGGGGACTAGTGTGGGTTTCTGCCAGGAGGAACGATTCTCCCGTCCCTGGTCTGTGCGAACTCACTGCAGACTGTGCACCCCGAGCCCAGATACGATGACTGAGGTGATGGCGAAGAGCACCATCATTCTGAACCCCAAATTGACAGCCATCTTCCCAGGCTGCTGGTGGAAATCCCAGCTCGCGTTAGGGCACCAGTGACCCGGGGGGCAGGGCGGGTGGACTATGCCCTAAAACTCCTCTTCCAACTAGGACAAACCACTGGATTGGAGCCAAAGCCTTAGTGAAATTCATGAAACGGAAGGAGGAGGGTGGCAGTGAGCATCTCACGTCAACCTCAGGCAGCATGCCCTGGCCACTGGAGTCCTCAGAACAGGCCATGCCCTCCACTTCTCAGCCTCTGCAGGCTCAGCTGGAGCCTCTGCAGTCCACCCCATACTGCTCCCACTGGGTAGAAGAGGGAGGCACCCCCACAAAGGTAGGAGGGGCTGCCCTGCTACAGGCTGGAAGTGAGGGGAGGATCTCAGGTCTCCCTGGGGGACAGGCCAGGAGCAAGGAGGCAGCGCATGGATGGATGTGCACACACGTGCAGGAGCCTGGAGGGGGCGCTCTGCACACACACATCTGCCTCCTTAGGTGTGTTCACAGCCAAGTAGAAAATCGACGCCCACCGCAGTGCTGTGGCAGTTTCGGCCCATAATTTAGTTACTTTAGCGTGAGGAGCCGCCCGCATCATGTAAGGGTGGCAGGGACTCGAACATCCGGAGCAGTGTCCACACAGGCTCCGCAGAGTCCAGCTCGGTCCTGCCAGGCCCAGAGGAAGCCGTGTCTGTAGGAGATCCCAGCGCACGCAGCACGCACTGGACACAGGCAGGACCTTCAGCAAGACCTTGGTGGCGCTGATCAGGTCCAGTTTTCTTTCCCAACCTGAGCTGGCCTTGAGTCCCCCCACCAGGGGTGCCTCATCACTTAGGCTGTCGTCTGGGGTTTGTCAGGGGTTCTGAAATGGATTTCTGGTTGCATAGGCTGTATGTATTTCATCGGATCTAAGAGGCTGTCAATCATCTGCACAGCCGTGAGCACATCTAAAGAGTGAATCGGTTGTGCGAACTGCCTCCTCGCCCGGTGACTGACACCGTGAGGCTGCATTCCGATTGCAGAGATGTTAAGGTTTGGGGGCAAAGCAAGTGCCTCTTACATTATATTAAGCAAAGCCCTTGCCTTAAACATGGTTTAATTGTCAAATTTAGTCTTAAATATCATTTATAGATTATTTATCCATAAACTGTCCCAACGTGCACCCTGTGAAATGTAACGTGTGTGAGGGACTCCAGGACTTTCTGACGACCAGGCCTGGCTCGAGGCCCGGGCGCTGGCAGCCGCCTTCTGAGTGTGACACGCACAGGCCTTCCCGAAGACATGCGCTTCAGGACCTGTGTCCCTCGCGAGGCCACAGTGACAGCGCACAGTGTGGGGTCTGTGCCCGCGCGCTCAGTCTGTACAGGAGAGGACAAGGCACACGCTCGCGTGCAGGGAGGTGGTGGGGAAGCTGGTTAGGAAGCGTTTGATCCAGAGAGCTCTGTGGCCTCGGCTGTTGTCCTGGCTACTTGAGTTTTTGACATTTATCACCTCAACTTGCGTTATTGTCCAAGTTGACTCCAGGAACTGTAGTCAGCCTCCCTGAGTTAGCAAACCTTTCCGAGGAAGAAGTGCCGACAGGTGCAGACCAGTGCTGACCCAGACTGAGCAGGGGTGGGGACCGAGTGGCAGCAGCCACGGGCCCGGGGCTCTATCTGGGCGCAGCATCCCCTGCGCTGCTTGACCTGCTCCACCTCATTTCGTTCTGCCCACCACGTGAGGACAGCACCGCTCCTGCCCCCGGTCCAGAGCTGGGAAAGGGAGGCTTGACAAGGGTAAGCCCTTGCCAGAGAGAAGTGTTAGAGCTGGACCCGAACCCAGGTCTGACAGAGTCCGGAGCCTGAGCTCTTCCCCCTGCGAGCACTGCCTGCAGCGGAAGCTGCTGTGGTCCCTGCAGGTGCTGAGCACACCTGGGCACCAGCGCCGACCATCCCTCCCTCATCCTGCGGTGCGAGCTGTGGCCACCGGGTGGTGCTGTGGAGACAGAAATCAGGCAGGTTCTGCTCTGGACTTGAATCCTAAATCAGAAATTGGGTAAATCAGTTACGTTCATGTATAGGACATGTACAGACACGTAGACCAATTGTTTGTTCCTATAAAACTATTATTGGAAGGTCATAGAGTGTAGCTTTGGAGCACAGGATGCGTAGGCATCTACATGGGATTGATTCTTGATGTTGAGGGTGTTTTGGTATCCTAGAGGTATTTTCATTATTTCCAAACTCATCCTGCCAGAAGAGGTTACTTTAGATGTACAAGAATTACCAGTGAAATGTTCAGGTAGACTGTTTCATTACAAAAGTCTAGAAACACAGCCTTCAGTGTTCCCAAGGTCTTTGAACAGGAGCAGGAGTTGTGTGTGAGCCGGGTTGTCAAGGAGCCTCTCATTAAAGTGGACGAATAGAACACGCCGGGTCCTCAGTTGATAAACAGTCTTGTGTAATAATGTAAACACTGAGGTTGAAACAGTCTGATGCCTGGTCCTGGAGCAGCACAGGGTCTCCTCCAGGTAAGGAAGCCTTGGGCGCAGGGAGGCGCTAAATGGATCACATGGGCCAGAGCGTGAAGGACTCACCAGGTCCCGACTCTGCTTGTGCCCTGGGCACTGTTTCCATCTCTCCGGCGGGACAGGATTCTGGTTTCCCAAGTACACTTAGCTAATGGAGCATCATTTGTTATTACTTAGTTCATTTATTTGTTGTGTTTTTTTCCCCCTTCCTCTCTTGGGTTATCCCGGGGATAACAATTTAGCAACTTAGCGCAAAAAGAATGACTTTTTGAGAAGCCAAAGCAAGGATAAAGACAAGTCTGCAACGGCCCACCCGACTTTCTTTAAACGCCTGCTGTGTTGTCATCCCCTACCGCCCCCCCAAGAGCCCCTCCCTTCTTTAGAAAGAGAGATTGCTGATCCTGTTCCTTTGTCGATGTCTTCACCCTATTCTCCCCTTCATTCCTGAAACTCAAACAAAAGGCCAGATGACCCATAGTGAATCTCTCTCTTTTTGACCCCACTTCCAAGCCAAACTTAAAGTAACCAACGTGGATTCTGATTTCAAAAGAGATCAGTCATCACACACACCCTCTGGACCATCCTACAGCGCAGCACAGTTTGAGGGGAGCCTCGGGACATCCACACAGGTCCTTGGGCCAGGATGTCCGTAGTAAGTAAGTCCCTAGCCATGTGCTGCCCCCTTCCATGGTACCTGCAGGCTTACACGTCATGCCCGTGTGTGACGCAGACCAGACCCGCTGTCGCTGTGCTTTCTGAAATATATGGCCTCTTCAAGTGAGTCTTTTCTAAGACCTTTTAAGCACTAAATTTAAACCTGCTGCCCTTTGTTCCCCTTTCCCTGTCAGCTTGGAATTGTTGGCTTTAGTACATAATGCCCTTTTTAGATGCGCTCTATGTTTTGAAGGACTTTTTCCTCCACTCAACATTTTGAACAGTTGGATGGATGTTGCTGAGCCAGGGTTCGGCTCAGAGTGATGTTTTATGACCATGTGGAGCTTCTCTGACCTCTGAGATCCTGGTGAAAGACCAGCGTGGACAGACCGAGCGTCGGCCCACAGTCACCGGCAGGGCGGGGCCGCCCGTCCACAGAGGCCTTCAGCTACTGCAGGGATTTCTCTCTGCAGCCAGCCTGGGCCATCGCCATGGTTTTTGCCATGTCTCTGTCACCTGTGCTCCCTCACCTGTTGTGCCTTCATTGACTCACTGACTGGTTCCACTTGAATTTATTTAAAAAGAAAGATTATTTTCAGTACTGTAAATGGAAAACCAGTAGAGCATAAAACAAGGTCCCATAAAGTAGATCTGTAGCAGTTACACTGTTCAGGTCAGTGGGTGCGGCAGTGACTTCGTCTCATCACCTGCTCTGGTTCCCTGGTCCTCCAGCCCATCTCCCAGCATGCTGTAGGGCACGCGCGGTTTCTCTGCCATCGCTGCTGCTGCTGACCTCCACCTGTCCTCTGCTCCTCATCTTAACTTCACCCGTGGACGCCTGTCCGATTCATTCCACCAGACCTGACTCTTGCTTCTCATCAAGGTTATCTTTCAAAATCCAAAATTTCCCTATGTCTCAAATTGTAAGACTTGGGTCCTTAAAACTTCACAGTGGGTCTACACATTGAGTGGCTGAGGGGCAGGGGGTCAGGTCCTGGGAGGGGGCAGGGAGGGGCCTGAATCCCAACAGAGGGCGTGGCTCTGGGTCCACAGACCTTGGGCTGCCTGGAGCAGGTCCTGTGCAGAACATCATTGTCCTACTGCCCTGGGCCCTCCAACCGTATGAATTGTTAACTTGTGTTTGGAGAACCCATCCCCTAAGTGGTTGAAGGTCGTTTTGCTCTGTACCTCCCAATGTCTTTGTTTTGTTTTGTTTTTTTGTTTTTTTGTTTTGTTTTTTTATCCTCATCCGAGGACATTTTTCCATTTTTTGTACAGATAGAGTGGGGGGGAGAGAGAGAGAGAGAGAGAAACATCGACGTGAAAGGGACACATCGAGTGGCTGCCACCCGCACGACCAACCAGGGCCGGGGACAAACTGCAACCGAGGTACATGCCCTTAACGGGAACCGAACCCGGGTCTCTCTAGACCGCAGGCCTACGCTTTAACCGCTGAGCCAAAGCGGCCAGGGCCCAATGTCTTTGTTTTTTAAGTAAGGATTTTATTTAACTTTGACAAGAGTATATGTTCATCGTAGAAAATTCGGAGATTGCAGAAAAGCACAAAATTCAAGGTGAAAACCATTCCTGCGGTCGGTGCACCATGCAGAGACGAGGACTCCTTAAACACATCACTGTGAGGGCGGCAGTATCTTCTCTGCAGTGAGGAAGCCAGTTGGTGGGGTGCACACCTGGACCTGGGGGCCTTCACTCCAGGCTCAGTGGTCCTGAGCAGATGTCTGCGGGGTCTGTCTAAATCAGGGATTTGAGTGACACACAGTGTTACCCAGCAGGTGTGCCCCGTGGCTCATGTGTTGGACTTTTCCTGACATTTTGCTGAGCCTCTTGAGTCTGTCCTTTGCTTTCTCCCAGCTGTGCAGACCCCAGCCCGGGAGGCGCTCAGCCCAGCTTCTGTCCCTGTGGTCCGTGTGCCCTGCGGCCTCTGCTTCTAGGCCTCGGCGTGGCAGCCCCACCTTGGCACGGGGTTCTGCAGCCCCATTTCTCAATGTCTTTCTCTGTCCCAGGCCCTGGGGACCTAAAACCGAAGCGAGGATCCCCACACAGGGGCAGCCTTGACCACAGGGATGTCTCTGTTGACCCAGCCACGAAGGCCTGGCCGTCTGAGCTGGGCTCCCGGACCTGTTCGTCCAGCTCCACCCCCATGTCCCGGCACCCAGGAGGCCGCAGCAAAGGTGAGTCACAGGCCCCCAGAACGGAGAGGGAAGAGCACCGGGCCGGGTCCTTCTCAAAGGCTCTGGCTCGCAGGCAGGAGGGGCCTCGCGAACTGAGAGGTGGTAGCACGGTGGCCGCGCTGGGACAGGCTTTGGCATCACAGACAGGTTCAGACCCCAGCTCTGCCACAGCTGTGTGACTTTGGGGCCGGTCCCAGGCCGCCGGCGGGAAAGGCCTGGAGCCCACCACCGCTGCGCAGGGATTGGTGGCAACTAGTAGCTCCGCACGGAGGCGAACTGGAGTTTGGGCTAAAATAGGCAATGTTGGCGGTTTATTCTCCAGCGGGCAGACTTGGCAGGGTCTTGGATGTGGAGGTTGGTTGACTGAGTGGAGGGCAAGAGCCTGGCTCAGCTTCAGGACCTGGTCCCCCTTGTTTACAAAAGAGCCACACCCCTGGGAGAAGATGAGTTGAGTGACGCAGGGCAGCCCGGCACCCTTCTGCGCTCCTGGCCAGACCCTGCATGGGCGGCCTCTCGCCGCTGGATGTCAAGGGAACGGTGCCGTGTGCCGGAGGCAGACCTGCCCAGGGGCTGTGGGCCGTCAGGAGTCTGCCCCTCTCCCAGGCTCCGCAGCGCAGGAGCCCTGCCTGGTTTCGAGCAGGAGCTGGGAACACCGTCCCCCCGGGACTTCCAGAGGCCTGACCCACGGGCTGTCTCCGCCTGGATCCCACCCTGAGCCCAGGCTGTGCCTGCTCCCAGGCTGCGGAGCCTGCGCGAGGGCCCGCGGCTGCAAGGCCAGCTCTGCCCGCAGCAGCTCCCTGGCAGCCGCTCTCAGCCCAGGCAGGCCCTGCTGCCTGCCACACGGCGGCCCTGCTGCCCCCGGGAAGGACCCAGGGCTGCTGTCAGAGAGAAGCTAGCAGGTTTCAGGCACAGGGCACTGCAGTCCTCAGCAAAAGAGCAGTTGACTGGTGGCCGTTGGATTCCGGAATGTTTCTGGCTGGCAGTTGCTGGTACAGGGTTCAGTCCCTAGGAAGTCAGCATCCTCCCTCAGGGGCTGGATTGTTTCCTTTTCCTCCCTCCGGCCACCTGGAGAGAACAAGGCCCCTAGGAGAGAGAGGGTAGCTTTCAGGGCCCTGTGCTGTAGGTTGGGGAAGGGGCTCCCCGGTACTGAGCAGCAGCTCCTTTGGCTGCATTATCCTTAGGCCAGAGCACGGCTGCTGTTTGGAGCCCAGTCATTGCACAGGCAGGAGCATGACTTAAAGTGAAATCAAATAGCAGCCTGGAGTGTGAGGCTATCCTAGCAGGAGAACTAGGGGGAGAGAGAGGTACAGGCAGGTTCTAAGGGCATGGTCCACACGTCCCTCCCTCCTCCAGGGTCCCGGTCTGATGCTCGGTTCCTGAGCGCTGGCCTGCATCACGCTCCCCGGGGCTGCTGGACACCGGCTGGGCCCCGGGGTCCTGACTCAGGAGCTCTGAGGTCGGGTCCGGAGAATCTGCATACTTCCACCTTCCCAGATGGTGCCTTGTCCTTTTCAGCCTAAATGAGACCAAAATTATCTCACTGCAGAAGTTTGTTGTGGAAGCTGATGCTCCACTCCTGAGAACCACCCCCACCTCCCCGCATCTTCCCAGCGTGTTCACCCCACTCACCTGACTCCCCTCCCCTCGCCTGAGCAGCCTGGAGAAGTGGAAGTCACCGCGGTGCCCCCCACGCCCCCACTCCCTCCGTGTTCATGCTGGGGGATGTCACAGTGGGCAGTCGGGGTGGCCAGAGAGGGGGGTCGTGAAGATGGTGTCAGAGGTGTGGAAAAGTGTGGGGAAGAGCCCAGTGATGTGGAAGACAGCTGCAGAGCAGACAGCCGTGGGTTCAGATCCTGTCTGCCTTCTCCAGATGTGGGGCCTGCTTAGCTCTAAACCGCAGTTGCTCAACCTGTTCGAGGTTGTGGTAACAGAACCTTGCGAGGTTGCTTGGAGAACTGAACGAGTTTGGGGTTTGTTCGGCTGTTGCGGTGACACCTGGGTTTCTAGCTCAGGGCTGGCGGGGGAGCATTGATAACGGGGCCTGCTGTGTGCACGAGCACAGGTCTCACTGCAAACGCCCGGGACCTGTGACTCTGACTGACGTGGAAACAGCCGACGTGTCTCCGGCAGGCTGAGCGTCCACATGTCTTCAGGGGCCCGGAGTGTTGGCAGGTGCAGATGGCCCCTGGGCCGCTGCTCCCTGCCACGGCCCGCTGGCCGGGGTCTGCTCCCTCCGCGGGTGACCCCTGCCGCTCGTCCTCCCAGGAGCTCCTCCCTTCCCTGGGCGGTGTCTGTCAGCTCGAGACACCTCCACGGGGCTCCTCCAGGCGGGCGCTGCCGGCAGAGGCCGCAGTTCCCAGAGCAGGGTCAGACCCTGGCCTCCGGCGGCTCTGCCCACCCCCAGCATGGGGGGAGAGGAGACTGGCTCCTCCGGGGGATGCCCAGCCCGGGCACAGCTGCTGGGCCGGGTGGCCGTCCCCTGGGCACCCTTGAGTTCCCCTCGGGGGCCCGCCACCCCTTTCCCAGGTTCAGAGAAACGTCTTGGTGGCAGCGAGGACTTGGGGTGCGGTCGGTCTGGCTTTTCAGGAGCTGCTGGCCTGGTCCCTCCTGGTGGCCTGAGGCAGAGCCCTCTCGAGGCGTCTGAGCCGGTGCTGAGAGGGACGAGGCCGGTCCGCCCGGCCCGGCTCAGCCCCGCTCCGCTGGTGGGTTGAGGCACAGACTGGACCAGGCTGTGGCAGCTCCAGCCCCGGCCTTCCCGTGGATGGGTTTGTGGAAAGCCCTTCCCCCTGGGTCTGTGCCCCTCCTGGGGAAGTTAGGGGGCTGCCTGAGTGACGGCTGGCGGTTCTCCCTGATTGTGTGTTGCCCCGGCCCCGCCACCCTGACCAGGGGCAGCGTGTGTGGTGGGGGTGACACTGGCCATGAAAAGGCTGAGCAGGAGCGAAGCTCTAGTCCTGGCCATGTGGCTGCCCAGGGGTGTCCTGGGAGGCAGAGGGCTCTCCGAGGACCCTCCTGGCCCTCACTCCCACCTCCCTTCTCTGCAGGACGCTCCCCGTTGCCGGGATGACCTGCTGAGCGACTACTTCAGGAAGGCCAGCGATCTGCCCACCCCGACCCCCGGAGGCCAGCCGGGACCACCCGCCAGGAAGGAAGGGGCCCGGGTGCCCGCCCACTCTGTGGCCCCCGCCTTCAAGCTGGCTGTGAGCCCCTCCGAGGGGAAGCTGCTGGCCCCGGGGCAGTACGCGAAGCCCAACTTCAGGCCTGCTGAGGCCGCAGCCGCTCCCAGTGCCCCCCTGAGGCAGGCCCTGCCCCCCCAGCCCCTCTCGGGGCAGACCCGGCAGGCGCCGGCGGCCCCCACGGCCCACGCCCCTGCCAGCGGGGCTGCGGCCCTGACCCGCGCCTTCAGCCTGGCCTCCGCCCACCTGCTGCGGGCCAGCAGGCCGGAGGCCTTCAGACAGGAGTCTCCTCAGAACCCTGGGCATTCCGAGAACTCGGGGGGCAGAGAAACCCACCCCCTGCAAAGCTCCACACCCCCCAGCTCCCACAGCCTGGCCCAGGAGAGGACCCCCCTCGTGGGAAAGCTTGGTGGCTCCTGTCAGGGCCCCGGGCCCCGAAGCCGGCCACTGGACATGAGGCGCTTCTCACTGGCTCCCCCAAAGGAGGAGAGAGCCCCCCTGCAGCAGCCCGCCCCGGCCCCGGCCCCTGCCCTGGAAGGGGGCAGCAGCTCCCAGCTCCAGCACCTCGCGCCTGCTGCAGCCCCAGCCGCCAGGACCAAGCCCCAGACCCCCCAACACTCAGGGGAAGCAACCATCGTTGCCCCTGGCCGGGTGGGGCACAGCCTGTCACAGGGGGACAGGGTCCCAGGACAGGGCCACCGAGAGGGCTGCCCTGCCAAGAGCCCTGGCAGGTCTCCAGACGTGGCTCCCCACGCCCGCCGGGAGCGTGTGCGAGAGCGTGTGCACCCCTGATTTGTAATGTGGCTGCAGCACCCCAGGGTCCCCCATTGCGGATGAGATGTTGATTTATTATTTTTCAACAACTTCTTGAGGTAGAAACAAAATTTCTTTTAAGAATTTGCATGTGCAGGGTGTCCTCAACAATGTAGACACATTTTAAAAGCTTAATTGTCTTTTCAGGTTAAATAATGATTTGAAATATGGGTGAAGCCAAACTAAGCTCTGAACAAAGGACAGTTATCAGCTTGGTTTCTCTCTGGGGATTCATAGGGGAAGTTTATGGTACAAACCACCCACCGTCGATGAGTGAAGGGCAGCTGGAAGAGGACGCGCAGACACCCAACGAAGCGATTCTTGATGCCTGCTTTCCGAGGTTCACCCCACCTCCCCTTGACCTTGGACACCGGGTAGGGGCCTCCGCGGTGGGAAGGAGTCAGGACACGTGACCAGAAGGGAGAGAAGGGGGCTCTCCGAGCTGTGGACCCGTCTGCCCTCTCTCCCATGTGGGAGTTGCGAGGTGCCCACGGGGAGTCCTAAGAGGCCTGTCTGTGCTCTGAGATCCCACCTCCTTGTACTTCCTGGTCACGTGTCCTGACTTCTTTCCCAGGCTCAGACCCCGGCCCACGTCTCCAGGGTCAATGACGCAGGGGGGGTGCAGTGAAGCAACCGAACAGCAAACGTCAAGAATCGCTTCGGGGTTTGCGCGCGTTCTCGTCCGGTAGCGGCCCCCCTTTGTGGGCTGTTGCTGGTTTTGTACCATAGACTTTATCTCATGTGTCCCCATAACAAAGTCTAGTGGATTCATGAAGCTTTGTTCAAGTCTTAGTCTGGCTTCACCCATTGTTTCAAACCTAAACAGGAGAGAAAACCGAGTTATCATTGCTAAGGATGTGTCCATGCGTGAGGACACCGTGTGTATGTGCACACACTCACGTGCACTGTGCTCTGAGGGACCCCCTATTCACGTTCCGTGGGGTCATCCTCTCCCATGGGGCGTCTCACCTGCTCCTCTGGGCGTGGCCAGCGTCCTGACAGCTTGTTTCCTGTCTAGTGAAGGTGCTCTTCCCGGGATGCGCTGCACCTGGTGACCTTGGTGTTGCAGAGACGTTTCCTTTGGAGTTACTATGCCGAGAAAGAAATGGAAGGTTGACACAGTGGATTTCAGGAGGGCTTTGGGGTGTGTTAAATAGACTGGTTCTGGAACACAGGGTGGAACTGTAATAAAATGAGTTGGAGGTGAACTGAGTCCTAGTTTTCCTTACAGCTCGTCACTGGCGGTGTTTTTGGGGCGTCGGGCTCCCCGCGCCAGCCCCCAGGCTCTTGGAACCCACAGCACCCTCGGCAGGAGGCCAGAGAAAGTGAAAGCGAGGTTTTCCTGTTTACCATGCAACAGCTCTTCACAGACTTGCGTTTATTTTAAGTTCATGCAGTTGAATCCATACTGATAGGGAATTACACCACCGCCGGAGCTCAGCGTAGAGTGGCCCTTGGGTGTTTGCCAGGCTGCTCCCCAAGGAAGGCCACACCTGCAGCCTAGGCCTTGGAGGCCTCAGACCAGATGCTTAAAGGTGAGGGCGGGGGGAGGATGTAAATATCTCCAGCTGCCCAGTCCTCTAGTGGCTGTCTGTCCAGCAGCAGCTTCCTGTCCCCTTCCTCCCTCACCGAAGCCCTTCTGTGAGTCTCCTCTTGCCTCCTTTCCACTCCTTCCCCAGGGGCCTGCCGCCGCCATGGCCGCCACTCGGCAGGGCCTGCGCCCCGGTGCTTTGAGCTGACCGGCAGCTGTACCCAGGCTTCGTCCCCAGGCGTTGGCAGGACCTGACACCTGCCGGTGGGTCCCAGGAGCTCGCAGAACTCTGTCCCGTGATTCTCTCCCCTCTTACAGCTCTCCGGTGCTCGAACTCGCCCGTTCCTCTGTCTTTCACCCATTCCTTCCACAAACCCCACTGAAAGTCTCCTGTGCCAACTCCCAGGCTCCCCCTTCGAGGCACGTCCCCCGCCCCTCTTCAGGGCTCACCCCCCCCCCCCCCGCCCCTCTTCAGGGCTGACCCCACCCTGCTCCCCCCTGCGGCGCTGACCTCTCCTGAGCTGCAGGCCTGACGTCAGCTGCCTGTTAGCGCCCTGCCTGTCTGCAGGCTTCCCGGACTCCCTGTCACCGCTGGGCTCCCTGCTGGATCCAGACCCCAGCTGTCAATCACAGAAGCCAAAGCCTTGATGCAGGCTTGACCCCGCCTCTCTCCACAGTGTGCCTGGAATCTGCCCCCCCCCTCCCCCTTAGCTAACTGTCCCCGTTCTAGGTCACACACACCCCTGACCCTGGGCCTTGGCAGGGGCTTGTCAGCTGGTCCGCCAGCCTCACGACTTCTCAGCCCTTGTGGCACCTCTCGGGCGTTCACCCCAGGTGACCTTCCTTTGTGAACATTCCCCTCCCCCCACACCGGGTCCACCCATCCCTTTGCGGTCCAGGTTCCCTATGTGGTTCACCTGGGGTGTACCCAACCCTCTGTCACCCCCTCCTCCTGCCCAGACAACTCATACACGTCCACAGCTTTAATTACCATCTTCCCGGAAGGCTGCAAACACCTCTAGCTCCAGCCTCTCCTGGGAACCTCCATTCCAGGTCCAGGAAGCTCGGATGTCCCAACGTCACCTCAAGATGCTCAGCACACAGTTCACCCCCTCAAGCCTCTGTGTTCCTCATCCCATCACCTCTGTCCCTACATGCAGACCATCGGATGTCCCAACGTCACCTCAAGATGCTCAGCACACAGTTCCCCATCCCTCCCCCCCCCCAAGCCTCTGTGTTCCTCATCCCATCACCTCTGTCCCTACATGCAGACCATCGGATGTCCCAACGTCACCTCAACTCAAGATGCTCAGCACACAGTTCCCCATCCCTCCCCCCCCCCAAGCCTCTGTGTTCCTCATCCCATCACATCTGTCCCTACATGCAGACCACGTGGCATCACCCTCTTCCCTGTGTCCCATCCATCACTCTCTCAGCTGGTTCCAAGTCTGACGCCTCACGAACATACCCAGCCAACCCCAGGTGGTGGCCCCCCTGGGGGTCCCCACAGTACTGCAGACTATGGGGTCCTGTTGCTGAGGGGACAACCCAAACCATGCCCCTGCTGAGCTCCGGGGCCCCCCCCCCGCTGTGGCCTGGGAAAGGTGTGGTCTGGTGGGAAATGTCCCAGTGACAGCTGGTGCTCATGCCCACAGCTCAGGGCTGAGCTCTGCCTGGGGAGGGATCTGACGTCACCTGTGGGACAAGAGGGGCTCACCCTGGGGAGACCTGTAAAGTGAGAATATTAGAAGAGGTTGGAGAAACCCTGGGAAGCATCCCACCAAATGTTATCAACCAGCCAGGGGAAGAGGAGGGAACAGATTTATATGTAGGCACATATATGTGCATATACCATATATATGTACATACACATGTGTATACACAGCCAACTGATTTTCTTAGAGAGCTCGTTAATTTTTGCCAGACTCGTGTATTTATAGCCAACCTATGCATCCACTCAACTGCCAAGTGAGTGTACTTCCAACGTGAATGTTGGAGCATGTTTTCTTTTTTTTTTTTTATCCTCACCCAAGGACATTTTTTTGTTTTTTGTTCAGATAGAGTGGGAGAGAGAGAGAGAAAGAGAAACATCGATGTGAAAGGGACACATCGAGTGGCTGCCACCCACACGACCCAACCAGGGCCGGGGACAAACTGCAACCGAGGTACATGCCCTTAGCAGGAACCGAACCTGGGTCTCTCTGGACCGCAGGCCAACATCTTAACTGCTGACCCAAACCGGCCAGGGCAGAGCATGTTTTCTTTTATGTGATCACGTAAAACAAGCTGAAGATGTTTGGGAGAGCTTCATGCATCCGTCGATGACGTGAGTGACTGCTCAGGTCATCGTTTCCTGGGTGCCAGACGGAGTCCCTCAGTGTTTACACTTGCAATGTGTTCACACTGTAATGGCTACAGGCATTTTTTAAAAAATAGGGATTTATATACCTCAGTATTCATCCAAGACACTTTTTTTTATCCTTACCCTAGGACATTTTTGCACTCACCTTCAGATAGAGCGGGAAGGAGAGAGGGAGGGAGAGAGAGAGAGAAAAACATCAATGTGAGAGAGACACTTGAGTGGTTGCCACCCACACGACCCCAACCTGGCCCGGGGACAAACTGCAACTGAGGTACGTGCCCTTAGCGGGAACCAACCCGGGACTCTCCGGTCCACGGGCCAACGCTCTAACCGCTGAGCCAAACCGGCCAGGGCCCAAAACACATTTTTACGTTTAATCTTTACTATTAACATTGTCTCCATCACTTTCTTAAGTGTAGAGACAGAGGACACTGAAGAAAACAAATCCAGCCCTGATTTGGTAACGTTTGCCAATTTCTTGGTGTAAGTATTTTCATCACAGGATGTTTCAAGCTCCCAACATGGTGTCACTAACCGCAGAGGTAGGAAGAGATGTGTGCTGTCGCCCTGTGATATAATACCACCTGCCTGCATACACAGTAGGTACAAATCTCCCCAAGAGCAGAGGTAACACTAAAGTAACTACAAGCAACGATTTTGAGTATTTATTACCTTATTTTTAATACAAATTCTTTAGTCGCAGGTTTCCATAAGGTGATTTTGAATGATGGCTGTTTAACACCTGGCTTGGGAACGCCCTGGACTCCCCGCCTGCTCCCACAAGCGGCGCAGGCTGGCTCCAGCTCAGCAAGGGGGGCCTCCAGGGATGGGCTGAAGGGAGGGAGACCAGAAGGAGGTTCACCCAAGAGCAGGCAGCTGGCCCTCCGGGTCCGGGCTGGCATGTGTGGGCACAGCGGTCCCCCGACCAGGGGCTGTCTGGAGGCTGGAAACTGCCCAGGCCTCTCTCTCCTTCCACCCTCCCTCCTTGACCTTTTCCAGGGAGCAGAGCGGGAAGAGTGGGCCCGGGAAAACCATCACCTCCCCTCTGCGAGGTGGGGCAGAGTGGACCGGGGAGTCAGGCAGGTG